ATATTTTTGTATACATGTCAAACACAATGATGAAAACAAAATAACAAAAAAACATGTTATTCAGAGAGAGAGAGAGAGAAAACGAAAGATCTTTGACATTTCTGCTTCAAAATCTATTTAAAAAATTGTTGCTGGAGACTTGGAAGTAAGTGTCCGAAAAAATTAGTAGATTTTGCTTAGTTTTTTATGCTCTTTCGAATGATGTCACTTTTATTGAGTCAGCACAAGATCGAAAATTTCGAAGCAGTTAATATGATTATTCTAAATTCAACACCAAGTTTTTACAAGAAGATTTGCTACAACATCCAAATTTCATGTTCTAACTGTTAAGAGGAATCAATTTTCAGCCATGTGAAGGCTTTATGATCAGATTAACCATTGTACAAGAATGAATATGAAATAGGGCATTGCTAGCCCGAAGAAATAGTCCATAAAGGGATCAAGGATTCATGTAACATGGTCTAATTTCAAATTTTAGTTTTACTATGCTTATTCAATAGCTCATGTTGAGGATCCTATAAACTTCAAATCGTTGACCGAGCATATACTTTTTTGTCGACATATATTACTTAAAAAAAAACAAACTGTCTCACAATTTTCCCAGGAATTCAGCAGTTTATATTTCGCCTCTTTATCAGCTATTTTACGACAATCTCTTCCCTCTCTCTCTCTCTCTCTCTCTATAATAGAAAATCATCCTGGGGAATACTATATAAAATTTATAATAGAAGAGTCTGTCATTGTAATGTATTTTTGACGTAAAGTTTTTTGAATTTAGTTTTATATACATTTATTAAAAAGAACTTTCACGAAACCTAGCAGGAAAGAGATCGACTTTTTCTAGATATCTAAGTGTTTGTTATCAATATTTTTGTTCTTTTCATGTAGTTTCAACGAATGAGTCAGATTGAATCGCTAGTTTTTATCAATTCCATTCTGATTCACTATTTAGTTTTGATTTTAAAACAAATTACAGCATTGAATAGGATAAATAAAGCTATGAATTTTGATAAAGAAGATTAGTTTCAAAATGAGGTCCTTTGTGCTGAGAAATTTTGAAAACTAGACATGCACAAACAATAAAATTGATTACATGTATATTAATTCAAAATGTCTTACTCATCTTTTTCCTTCTTGTTGAGAAATTCAATTTTTCCAATTTCATGTTAATACAAACATTGAATAGTAATGTTACATATATATATGATCAGTTAACATGTTTATCTATTCGATTCTTCACAAACAGAAGAGTGTGTTTATGGTTGTAGATGTCAAACAGATAACTTTGGTTATGTGTGAAAATGTTATTTGAGATTAGATTTAATCAAAATTATGTTTTTGAGTGGGATACAATGATTTAGAAATAATCATATTTTGTCCGCTCTGTGTAATAAGTGAAAAAACAAAAAAATACATGATTACATGGTGTGATGCACATAATGGCGAACATTCAACTGACTCTTCATCGCCGTTAAGTAATCTGTGTGAACGACGCAGGACAGAGCAAATAAAACGACGGTAATATCTGTATGAAGTACACGCAGTATATGGTTATTATTTCATGCTCTATTGATTTCTACGTAGATGTTTATACACAAACACTAAGCCAATTTCGCGATGTATATATAGGCAAGCTATTGCTTTACTCTCACTTACAGAACAACATCGATATATTATACTGTTATTGTGATATTAACCATACAAGATTTTCGACGAATTGAACTGGTAAGTGTATGTCTTTCAAAAGTGCAGTCTCTTCAGAAAGCCTTTGTGGTCATGAGTATCGACTGGATTTTCTTGCTGCTCAAGTAGAAGCACTAGGTCTCTATAGTGTTATTTTTATATCATTGTGATTGTTTTTCTCGAGGGAAAAACTTTTCACAATGCTGTACAAAATGAACCACAGAGATTAACTACTACGAAGCCATTCTTCTCAAAAAGCGTCTGTAAACTAGACTGTCAATCTGACTTCTGAGTGATCATGTAGAAATGTAACAATACAGTATTTTATTCTTCTTTCATCCGAAAAGACTTAGTGTCGATGAAAATAAGATAAGATACAATGTAGTAAAGAAAGACTCCAAGATATTTTCATGGGTGAGTTATCATTTGCCATAAATTCTAGTTCCCAGAATAAATCATTAAATATATTCACATTTGTGGATAAGTAAACATTTATTCTATTCTGGTGACCAAATAGGAATTTTTTGATTTAGAGATCTTGTTATTATCAGATATACTATACATAGTGTAATTCAATAGTATCCTTCGTCTCCTATCACACTGTATCAATCTAGTGATTAGATAACAATGTAAGAACACATGCCATGCGATGACACACACAATAAACACACTATTACATTTATAATGTAGAAGATACGGTTCTTCTCCAAATCTATCACATCGGGACACACACCTTCTTTGATGTCCTCATTCTCACTCTTTCATGAGCGCTATCCATTAAACTAGTTAGTACATAGGGTTTCGTTGATCTGGAGTAGGGGTGTCCATTTATATTTTATTAAGAGAGAGAAAAATTCTGCTCTAATTTGCATTTCCGGCATCTTAACAAAAAACTTGAAAGTTGTTAAAGAAGACTCATTTTTTAGTTGTTCTAGTCCATTTTTCATATGTTCCTCATCTTCTGTGTTTTTTCCTAAAACATGTATCAATCTATTTAAATGTAATATATCTCTAACCAACTTTTCGTTTTTCGTCGAATAATATTTAAAGAAGCAAGAAAAAAATTTACTCATTTTTGCATTATGGGTACTTTAAATAACTTATGTCAGGATTTCTTCAATTTGTGGAACTATGCAAAACAACTTGAACTTGTTGAAGAAAATCATTGAAAAAGTTCAACATATCGTAATTTTAAAATAGTTTTATACTTATTTTCCCATTTGCTATTCGTTATCAACTGTTTTGATGTATGCTTGAAGAGACTTAAAGAAGGAATTCTTTAAAAAATTGTCTCGACCTTAATGAGCAGAAAAAAATAGACAAGACATTGACGAAATACTGATACTAATTTTGAATTTGGCCTATATGATATCTATATATATATGAGCACACTGTATTGTAAGAGTCAGCAAAGAAAATATAGCCCAGCAAGTCTTTCAATTATTTATGATTACTCAATCCTTAAAAGAGCTCCACTAAGAAATGGTCCAGTGCTATTAAAATCATCTTGTCGCTATTGTGTATGTCAATAGTTTCAAAAATCAAAATTCAAACTTTTTCGAGTTAATTCAACATTTACTACATGCTTTAAAACGTATATTTTAGAAATCAATCTTACAACTTTGATTTTGAAGTTCTTAGCGAACAAAAATCGTCAATATCTCAAAAAATGTCAACAGAAATATTATATGAAAAAAATATGGGTACAAAGGAGAAGCTGTAAGTTTGTCAAAGCTTTTTTTTACCAACATTACAACTAACATGTTAATTAGCTACTGATCATAAGAAAACATTTTCAAGTGCGAACTAGCTTTCCAACTGAGACAGTGGTCATTGAATTGATCATAGGTAGCTGTACGATACTAAAATTTCGACTGAATGTCTGACCCTCTAAAGCTATATAATGAACACTATTTTAGTCACCTCTTGACCTATTCTGCGGGTTTTTTCGATAAAATTCATTGTTGTGTTTTAGATCTGAGGTTTTGCACACGGATAGATCTCATCATTACCAGATTTTACCATAAAATTTAGTTCGAACGAGTGCTTCTTTGAAATATTAGTTTTTCAAGCAGATCAAGTGTTTCCAATTTTGTTTTGAAATATGAATTCTTAAAGAACTTAATATCTCAATTTAGATAAAGAACAATTCACTCGCTTTTTTGAAATGTCTTCGAACAGTTTGAGAAGCAAGTGAAATAACATTCGTAGCTCAGTCTCAAAAGTCCCAACGATTCAATTGAAGTTATAGAATTACACCACTTACTATAAACGATAAAATGATCATAGTCGCAGTCGAAAAAATATTTTCTACTTGAAGATCTTATCTCATTAACACAGCGTTAACATTGCTTTCGCTTCCTATTAACCAGAGATGAATGATGTACATTTTCTCTGTTTCTATTTCAGGAAAATGTACACTAAACGAATATTTTTCGGCATTGGAATGTTCACTGGTTTAGCTTTGCTTGGGTTTCTTCTAGTGATCATAATTTTATTGATTTCTGCATTTATTAAAAACTTAAATGCAGACACTATGGCGTACTACAATACAGGTTTGTCAACTCTCTTTTTCCAGCTAAACAGTAAATCGTGCTATTTGTTGAATCATTATTGTAAAAGATTCAAAAAACTATTATCGACGTCAAAATATAATAACTCTCGATATTTTTTGAATATCTCGTGAATGAAAGCAGCTAAAAGCCTGCGGTTTTCGCCATTCGAATGAGACATTTTTTGTCCGTTGAGATCGAGCAACGTTTTATTTGAAAGAGTATGTAAAACTAAACAAAAAGCCACTTATTATTCCTTTAAAAAACTGACTCTTCATATTGAAATTTTTATTTTCTAAAAGTTCTCGCGTTTTTAAACCAAGTTTTTTTTCACTGTAAGTCCTTTATTAGTATGATAAAGGGTCGAGGGGGAAGTGGAAGATGAAGCGAATTTTAATATAGTACATCTTGTAGAGCATTTTGCACTCTACAAAATTCTTATAGAGATTTAGAAAAAAAGTTTCAACAAGGACCAAAAAAGATGGAAAAGAACTATTCCGTAACTCAAATTTGTGGTTTCTCTTGCGTGCTATTCAACCGATTCCAGTTAGAAAAATGGCGACTTGATTAAAACTATTATCATATTCTAAATCAACATCAAAAACTGAGTCGATCTATATGTATTTCAGATATTTTTGAGACTATTTTTCATCGAAGAATTCATACCTACTCTTTCCCAGAGTTGCACCAAAAAGCGAATTTCACAAAAACGTTGTTTCCATCGTTTAGACACGTCCTAGTTTGTGTTCTACTATCATTTTATAATCTTAGAACTTGTTTATGAGTGTCGAAATAATGTTTTGATGAAATTCATCTTTTGGTCCAATTCTGAAGTGAGGACTATGAATGAATTTTTCGATGAAAAAGAATGTCTCAAAAATACCTGAAATATATATAGATCGACTCAAGTTCTGGTACTGATTCAGAATATGATATTAGTTTTAATTAAATCACCATTTTTTCAACTAAAATCTGCTGAATAACATGCAAAAATGCCACAAATTTGAGTCATGGAGTAGTGTTCCCTTCGCCTTTCTTGGCCTTTTTTCAAATAATGACTTAGTTTTTTGCAAAAATTCTCTGAGAAACAACCGTCTAATTTGATCACTCAATGCATATTGTAGAATCTGGCGAAATGACTCAAAGTTTCTTCTCAAATTGGGTATCAAACAAGAATCAGAGTACAACAGTCATCAATACTGATGAAATTGCACGAAAAGTAATCGTATTTCCATTAGTTATCACATGTGTCTAAACTAATTAAATTGAATGAAATTTTAGTTAGAAGCAGCTTACGGTATCAAATCAGGTTCGATCCGTATTAATACTATTATGATCAGTAATTGTGAAAGAAATTTCGATGATCGTCGTCGTCGCCGTCAACTTGACAGAAAAAAGTCTGAAATGTACGTCTTTATTTTGCATGATTTTTTCATTATATATATATTTTCAATATTTACTTAACTGTGTTTCAGACCTAGATGTGACCGGTTGGGATCTGATTGCTCAATTATAGAAATAGCAATGAATATAATCTATCCAGCAAGATGTGGCATATCTATGTCTTGCAAAAAAGAATTTGCTGATGTTATTCAAGGTCGTATTGCTGCATATATTTCAAATATTTTAGTAGAATTCAAATTTGCTGACGGAAGTTCCAATGAACTTGCGTTGACCAGATGTAAGAAAGCCACTGGTTCATCACTAAACTCTTTATTACGGTCACGGCGCGCTCCTAAAACAACTACAGTAAAAGCCACTACACCAATAGTCACTACAGCAAAAGCCACTGCACCAATAGTTACTACA